GGACGTTTGGCTTCATAGCGTTCTCCCTTGATGATTGTGTAATCCTGACGGCTGATTGTCTTGCTAGTAAAGGAGCCATCTCCCTTGAGAACGTCAGAATCGTTGCGACGTTTTGCTTCATACCGCTCCCCCTTCATTATTCTGTAATCTTGTTGCTTAGTCGACTTGTCTGTAAATGATCCATTTCCACGCAGAATATCCGAGTCCTTAGGAATCTTTGTCTCATATCGCTGGCCCTTGGTGGTAGTGTAATCTTGTTGATTAACGGTCTTCTTCGTGAATGAGCCGTCGCCGCCCAAAATTTCCGAATCCTTTGGACGCTTTGCTTCGTACCGTTCTCCCCTTATTGTTGCGTAATCCTGTTGGTTTACCGTCCTGATTGTGAAAGTTCCATCTCCCTTTAAGATTTCAGAATCTTTGGGACGTCTCATTTCATAGCGCTCTCCCTTTATAACTGTATAATCCTGCCGATTGACTGTTTTGTCAGTAAATGAACCATCGCCTCTGAGAATTTGGGAATCTGTTGGTCGCTTTGCTTCATATCGGTCTCCCTTTAGCATCGTTCGGTCCTTACTGTCTACCGCATTATTCGTCAAGCGGCCATCCCTTTCCGAAACTTCCGAGTCTTTTGAGTGAACGCTGTCGTTGGGGTCGGCTTTACTTGCTAAAATCACTCGCTCCTTGGTCATCGTGCCCGTGAAGGAACCGTTCTCTCTCGAAATATCTAGCTCTTCTGGAGGTTTGGTGCCATATCGTTCTGCTGGTATTACGGTGTAATCTCCCTTGTTGGTCGTCCTATCCATGAATGTGCCTTCTCCATTCAGAATTTCCGAGTCTTTAGGACGCTTGGCACCGTAACGCTCCCCCCTGAACGTGGTGAAATCGTGTTGAGTAACCGTTTTCCCCGTGAAAGAGCCATCTCCTCTCAAGATATCTGAGTCTTTTGGAAGCTTTGTATCATATCGCTCCCCCTTCAAAATCACGTACTCTTGCTGGCTCACAGTTTTGCCAGTGAACGAACCGTCTCCCTTAATTGATTTCGAATCCTTTGGACGTCTCAGTTGATATTGCTCTTCATTTTTATCAAGATTTTTGGTACTTTGAGCTTCATGGCGTGATTTCTTCGTTACTACATTCTCTGCCTCTTTTGTACGTTTGCCGGTTGGAGAGATCGCGTGGTTTGACAAATGACGGTTGCTTTGTACCTCATGAGTTCCATGAAACATTCCAGCAACGTGTTCCCTTTCGTGTACCATGGCGCTTCTTGCTGATGTCCTCGTTTCTTGGAGGTTGATCGTGGAATTTTTGCCATTAGGTATGCCACCGGAAGCATTATTCACTGCGTGCTCTCCAGCTTGGTGCAGCTTACTTTCTGCAACGCTTCCGTTCGCCAAAATCGTTCCGTTACTGATGGTTTTTTCATGGGTATGCACGATACGCTTGCCTCCACTAGTTTCAACTCTTCTCGAAAAATGTGCTGATTTCGTAGTCGTTCCTGCAGAAGCAGCATTCGACAGTGGATCCTTAAAAACATATTTATATGCTTATCAAGTTTCCACATTTCATGCTACTCCTGAGGTTTCTCTCTTCCTTCTGACTCTTCTTAGCGTTTTCTGAACACCTTTTGACCCAATCCATTGGAACAACACCTTCAATCTACCCATGAGCTTGCGCTGCTTCCATCACGGGAGGACTTTTACATAACCTGCTGCTTCTATTGTATTTAACCCATTGACGACCATGCAGTCCACATGTGGACTGCAGTTGTATTTTTTGTTTTATTCATCTATATTTCAACTTTTTTGCAGTTTTTCTATTCGAAACATTACATCAGGTCTAAATGAAACTACATAAAGCGTGATCCTGGAAAATCTTCTATTTTTGCAAATGTAAAGGTGTTTTTTCGAAGGAGCACATTACCATGGTGAATTTTT